CACCACCGATGTCTGCATAGATATAGGGTGGAATGCCTCCTAATCGGCATTGTCAGCTTATACCAAGCGTAAGATCAATTCAAGGTATGGGAAACTCACCGAAAAGATAGACAGGGATCTGGCTGCCAGTCCACAAGAAGGCCATGGCCGTGAAACCCATGAAACGGCGGAAGGTGAACTGAATCGAGTCAGCAGTCGAGTCAATGAGCTGTATCAAATCAGTAAAGCATAAAGCACGGTACTCACAGGAATGTCTTGACCCTCTGCCATATCTGAACCTCCTGGTTCTAGTCCAACAATCTCCTCATGACTGTACTTCTGCTCCTGGTTGCTCCCCATGCGTGTGTGTCCTGCACCCTTCTCGTCCACCTGAGACTGACTCGAGTGGTCGGCGACCTCCATTATTGCACAAAATGTCGCAAAAAGTGACTCAATTGGAGGAGAGAAACGACACAATTAAACCATAGATAGGTCCAATGCTGCAGAAAGCAATGACCTCGTTGTATTGAGAAAGAAACAGGAAAATAATCGCGTTGATCAGCCAGCAAGTCCGGGCTTCTTATATGTGTCAATGCTCCATCAAAATAACAGAGTTCAATGATAGACCAAGCTCTTGGTAGCCTCCATGATGAGAATGCTTAGGTTCATGAGCGGAGTCACGTTGAGTGAATCATGATCTCAGTCGGAGAACTAACCCTGATACGATCTAGCGAGCTACGTTCGTCGACCACCCCTACCAGAGTATCTCAATGTTTCAAACGGAGGTGCTTCCATATCGAGACAGAACCGAGGCACTTTCCAGAATTCTGGCGCGACCAGAGCTTCAGTAATTGCCGACGAGGGGTTTTCTGGCCCAGCTGGTCTCATCTGGGCCGTGGTGAGTGCGGGGGATTGAACATGCTGGTCCGTGGGCGATAGGGGGCGAAACAAGCTCCATATTGACTTTGACTGGGCCATGTGTTGATTGAGTTTATGCTACTTGATTGGAGGGACGAGGATAACGGATATTTGACCAGATTCGAGCTAGCCACTAGCCAGCGAAAATAAGTCGGTCATGTCATTGTCTCACCCTTCTTGATGGGGCCAAGTGGACCGCTCCAAAGTCAAACCCCGGACTTTCCACTATCTGCCCCATCAATGTCTCCGGCGAGTCAAAATGCCAGTTTCAAGAGCTCATGCAACTTTAATTGACAAATATTCGAAATATTCCGGAACAGCCTCCCCTGTCATACGAACGGGAATTTATCGAGCTAGATATGTGTATACTGAAATAGATATCGTGTTAGTGGACTATTTGAGCGCCATTTCATGCATAGCGAGAAGAGAGAGGCGGCAACTTGAGCAATCCTTCTTCGATATCCCAGCAATAGACTTTTATTCAATTATATCGAGCAGGGAAATTTTGGTTATAGAATGAGTATCCATCCAATTGTACCCGGGCTTGAAGATCTCGTCGACATCATGACATGTCCCAGTCTTGTCTCCGAATCAACCAGATCAAAATCGTTCTCCAATCTCCCGCAATTCTAATCCCTTTGGAACCACAAAAAGCGCAGAGGCATGTGCACACACTCGCCCGACCGGGTCGCGGATCTCACCAGTCACGTATGCCTTGCGTTCAGTGCTTCTTCCTGGGTCTACCTGCGAGTGAAATGTGTAAAAGTTGCCAGAGTATACCGGAGCGCGGTAATTGATCTCAAGATTAGCTGTCACGCCGGTGCGTGCCGGGAAATGGCGTATAGCAGCACGTCCCAGATTCTCGTCAAGCACAGTAGCGAGAGCGCCACCATGGACAACCGTTGGCCAACCCTCCAGACCTGATCCGAGGTATACCACACTGATGGCTTTCTTCTCCTTGTCATTCCAGAAAACTCTCTGTTTGAGAATAAATTAATTAGCGAGTGTCCAGTACTTCCGAGGTTGATCGAGCTTTCATGCCGGCATTTAAAGTGCTCAGAAGGGAGGGGAGCTCGGTAATGATATCAATATGCAGGCCAAGAAAAGACTCAATCTCGGTTGATTACACCTCCTCCAAGATTAGGTATGAGGTAAAGACACGAACCTGAAGCGCCAACCCTCGACTCCCTCGCAGCGGGCCAGACGTCAATCTGTGAGCCTTATCTTCCTCCGAAAATCCTTCGTACGCATTCGATTCCACGTAGTCCGGATTGTTTCTTAGTTCTTGCACGATAGGCAGCCCGTTCTCGAATACGTGATTGATCTCCTCCAGCTTGGCTGTGTCTTCCACTGATCCTGGCACTGCCGGTGCCGAGACCTTCTCGTCCATCCACTTCCCAGCGGCAACCCCTAATCCACCAAATAATCCTGCATAGACCAGTCGCCGTGGCCACCTCGACTTGGCTGCTGTTGGCTCCGTTTGGGAAATAGTGCTGGCATGGCGCGACAGGCGGGGCTTTGAGAGGTGCACTGACTTCAATTGCGTTGCATTACAGCGCGGCCGAGATTGAAAGATTCTGCGAGGACCGAGCATGATGATCCGAATCACATCGCAACCTGGCAATAGGTATGGCTGCGGTTCAGACGATACGCGATTCCATTGCGATTTATCAGAAGCAACCTTGACGGCAGCGGAGAACAAGCGCCGATTGCCGAGGTCGAGGTCACGTGAACTAACTTTTGACTGGGACTTTTGACTTTCTACGCCATGATAATGCTTAAAGAGAATAAAAGGTTACTGAAGTTCTATCCAGCACTTCGGGAACTTTCCTGGCTTCATATAACTAAATCTTCGTAAGAGTAGGGCGCATGCAATGTTCACGGTGTCACCCAAAAGGTTAGACGCTGAAGAACAAGAAACGCTGCATGAGTCTAGCTAATCCGAAAATCTTGGTTCAATGATGCTTCATGTGGTCGTTATGTGCTAAACTTCATTTCTCTAAGATGTAGACCGCAGGTGCGGCACGGTTGAGATCAGTAGGCGTCGAAGCTTCTTATTCCGCAGTGGGCATGTCAACTGCGCGGTAAAGAAGGATCAGTGCAGAATGGGATTCACCTGAAATTGCGAAATATCAGTCAAGGTTTCATCAATAGCAAGAAACAAGCGATGTACTCACCACCACCAGCAAGGGTTTCAATCTTCTCTCCGTCAACCTCGGTGACCTTATCGTCGTTGAACCACCACCATTTCCCGTCCTCCTCACCCTTGCCATTTGGCTGCTTCTTCACATATGACGTGTAGTGACCACTGTCAGCACTGGCGCCTTGATGCGTAATGACTGCGCGCAACTCGTAGAGGCCAGATTTGTTTGTACCGGCATCTGACGCGAGTTTGGGGTCAATCAGTGCAGCCAATTCTTTCTTTGCAGCGAGAATTGAGGCATTCTTCTCAGCCTCGTACTCTGCATCCGACTTGAAGACATCCGTCATGCCTGTGTCCCCATCTTGCTCGCCGTTCTTCGTAGCCTCTTTTTGCTCCTCCGTGGCTGTCTTCTTTTGCATGGGTTCCAGACCCGCATCAGACTCAGCGGCTCTCTTCAGCTCCTCCTCCCGCTGATGAGCAAGCTTCTGGCGTTTGCGGGCACGCTCAATATCGACCTCTTCTTTCCGAATATCTCGTACCTTATCCCTAATAGGGATCAACTGCTTCTTGAGCTCCTCCGTACAAAATTCCACCACATCCAATTCGGCAGGGAAAGACACTTTGCGCATAATCTTGGCCTTCTTTTGTGTCTCACGCTTCCAGAAAAAGCGGACAAAGTGCACGGTCAGATACTTGGGCAGACGGGCAATGCGGGATCGTTTAGTGTAGACGGCGTCGCGGTCCAAAGTAGGTGATCGCTTTTCAATCTTCTCCTCGAGACCGGCCAGTATTCCATCATGCAGGTGGTTTGTCTCTTTGCCGATGTGGCAATCCAGCTTATAGAAGACGTCGGAGCTTTTTGTCGCTTCCTCGCCAGCTTCTTTCGCGGCCGGATCGTCGCATTCGGTGACCGACTCGAATCGACCAGCAAGATATTTGTCCACGAACGATACCTCGGTAGCGGAGTCTCCATCGCCCTCTTTGATCGTCAGTTTGGTTCGCAGTTGAGTGACAATTTGGGACCAAGCCTCTTCAGCGTCTTGTTGAGCATAGCCATGTCCATTCCTGTCTTTCTGAGCAAATTGAGGGAAGATGCTCCTCAAGGCATTGAGAAACAAAAGTGGTGGGAAACCTTCTTGCGTCTCGGACATCTGCTTGAACAAATCTCGCAAGGACGATACCAGATCCATGGAGGCACCAAGACCACCAAGGCCCAGGCTGCTGAGATCTGAGAGTCTTGAACCTGCTGAAGAGCCCGCGCTGGGTCTGTAGTTTAGAAGCTCCTGTTGAAGCTCCGGGATGCTCCTCAGGGTTTGTAGGGTAGAGTTGAGGTAGCAAGTATTTCCAAGGTTCTGTAGACCAGCAGGGGTGGCTCCCTCCGCTCTGGCAGCCTCGGCCTCGGTCATATCCTCCAGAAACTTGACTGGTTCCTTTGGCCGTCCCAAGTCTACGGCATCTTGACCGCCAGATGGCGTACCCATCATCATGAATGTCTGACCCGGTTTAGCGTTGAGAGCGGACAAAGGCGTTTCATTTTTGAGTTGGCCACCCTTGACCAAGATTTTCTGTCTCTCGGGTTCGACTCCAGTCAAGGAGTACATCTGATATTTGAGTGTTTCGCCATTCGCAGATGGATCGAGCTCAACCTCATGACGTTTGCCTTGATGCTTCACAATAACTAAGGACATGATGTTAGTACGAGCTTCGAAAAGATTCAAAATGCATCCCAGTAGAGCGGGTAGTCATACTTGGTATTGTAGCCATCTTGTTAAAGCTCGACGGATGCTTTCAAGTCTTCCAGTTGAGCTTTACTCCGTACTTGATAGATTACTGGGTGAGTGGCGCATAATCAATGGGGTGCCAGAGAGGTGACTCTAGAGCGGCGTGGGGTGGAAGTTACAAACAAGGCAAACAAAGCAAACAACCACATACGACATCACCGCCCAAGCAGCCGTGCGGGATGTCGTCGTCGGCTCCTGAAGTCGACCGCCTAGTACATGTGCTTCAGTACAATCATTTATCCTGTTTCAATCCAGCTTTCTTGCTAGTGCTACATTTGCGCGTGGTCAATTGGTGCGATCTTGACACTCGTCAGTCCTGACTCGAAGCGAACGTTGACAAGAGTTGGAGTGGGGAACAGCAACAGTGACGTGGAATCACCATACCTCGCATCTCCGTTATGGTAGGTCGTACCCTGTGAACACCCGGCGAAATCCGATATTGATCATCAGGCAGTCTCAATCATTGCGCCCGTACCTTCAGTGCGTTCGGTCCTCGCTTACCGCCGCTCTTGCGATCTCGAACTTCGCCTCGCAAACCTCCGAAAGGCATAATGTTCCTGAAATCGAGGCTCAGAGCTCCCCGGAACTCCTCCTCAACCCTCTCACAATTTCTCGGAATGAGAATGAAAAAGTCCTGATCGAGCCCAGCGTAAACAGTGTTCGCGTGAGCATCAGAATTAAGCAAGCAGATGAAATTGAACATATCCTGGTCCACAAGTTCACCAGATTCTTGACGCAACGGGCAGAGTCCTTCTTTATCTTGCGGAGGAAACCAGTCAAGGTAAGTGACCATATGACCTTCAATGCCGGAGAAAGGACAGCTTGCTCACCTGTCCAAGGGATACGACATCTCGTTCTTGATCACGAACTTCCATACAGAAGCTATGTTGAAGCACAAACTGGTCGACTTTATCATTCAGTTCATGGAGGAAGTGGATAAGGAGATATCTGAGATGAAGCTCTTCGTATGTTCTCGGACCCCTCACACTCAATTCGCGGTTCTACAAGGCTAATGTTATCCCAGTTGAATGCCCGTGCTCGATTTGTCGCCGAGTCTTTCTTGACACCAGTAAGAGACCACTTTCTCCTTTCCGCTCGCTGCGTTTCTAATAAATCTATGCTACAGTTTGACTAGAGATCATCTGATATTACCTACATCTCACCTTGAATTATACATGACCTCTGTTTCGTCCAATGAAAACCTCTGTGCAGGCGATCTAGGCTGTTAAGGGGAAACATTCGAGCAGTCTGCTGGATGCTTTGTTCCCTCCTTAGATCCTCAATCCCACCCTTGTATCAAACCCTGAGAGCTTACTCGCTTCTACAATTCATCCATGTATCTATGGTAATCCATTAGGACCATGGCTCTTCTTGACTCACGGCGTCATCACCTCTACTTCAATAAGACAATTTATAAAGCTCAGTTGATGCATCCCATTCTCGACACTCTATATCTGTCTCTAAACCACTGCCGAATTTCTAGTACAGCTCGCCAAATTCTCTACAAGTCTACTAGTATTTACTTCTCCGTGATGTCACACTTTTTTCACTGCCTCATCGTTACGGGAGACTCCAGCATCTAGATCTCAACATAGCTGAGTGACCGTACTTGCTATACTCGCAGGGATTGTGACACTGCTCCCAGTGAATTATGAGGAATGTCATGTTTCAGATATCAAATGCTGATACTCCATTCACCGCTCACCTTCCTTATTGAGGATTAGTTCCTACTGATGATATCTCATTCATATGTCAGTTTTTAGACTTGGTACTACCTTCGGGGCATCTCTTACTCCGTTCAGTTTAGTGATGTCTTATAGAGACCTCATTATCTAGCATATCTAAGACCGCCTCGTATGGCCTCACACAGACATTATATTGTCTCCCCCAAGAGCTCATTGTCGAATCCTGTAGATGTAGACAACACTTTATTGTGGAGACAGCATAGAATTGTGAATATGAGTGAATACTAAATCAAAAGCGGGTTTTTCATCCCAACATTCTGTTACTATGGTGCTCATCGCTCATCTGCCCTGACGATTTTAACAATAAGACCTTGTCTCTGCTGATGAGAAGTGCTTCTTCCCTTCTCTTCTCTTTCTTAACCTTGCATGTTAACCATCTCATCTCACTATGGAGGGCAAGGATACTAACAGCCAAGTGTCTGGCCATGAGTCCGGATATCTTTTCACATCTCCTTACCCTCAGAGCTACAACGTGCTTCCCTTCGGAGCTCCTGGCATGCCGGGCTTCAGTCCCCGGCCGGGGCAGTATATGGCTCCAGGCAATCCGAATCTGTCCCAACCAGTGCAGCCAGAAGGCCCCTTCATGTACTCTCCTTTCTATGGTATGCAGGCTATGGCTCACGCTCGTCCTGGCGCCATAGGACAAGCTCCCGGGATGCAATCTCCGCTGCCTATCTCGAACACTCAGCTCCAGCTTTCAGTCCGTCCCAAGCAGACGGGGTTTGCCCCAGCTGGCTCTCACTGGGCTCCGCGCTCTTCTTTGCACCAGCTCCTGGAGCATGACTCTGAGAATCGCGAGATAGCTACCCGGGCTGTTGACTGTGAGAAGAGTTTCGACACGGTGGCCCTTCCCACAGAGATGCCGATTGGGAGCCAAATCCACAAGAGAATGCCCCCTCAATGGGGAGTGGTAAAGATCGTGAACGTAAGTCAAAGCCTTCACATGTCTCTAAGCAATACAGTCCTTTAGTCGGTGTAGCGTCCACGGGCCTTCGGCTAACAAGCAAGGAAGATTCCCTACTCAGTCACCCGTCAAGAAATCATTCAGTTTCTAGGTCGCCAGGCACGCCTTATTACCCCGCAACAGGGCTGCGCAATCCATATTATAATGGAACGTTCCACTGCTAAAACAATGGACTGCTATGCGGAGTTCCAGTCCACGAGTGATGCCCAGGAGACAGCTACTCGCATCAACCGAATTTTTGAGACCGGCCGCGCTCCTCGTCTAGGTAACCGCTCAGTTGATATTGAGTTCAGTAACCAAGACGCTCTGCTCAAGGACCTTTTCCCTCGTGCCAAGTGCATTATCTGGAAAGATGCTATGCCTACCGCCGTCCCCAATGATGACCCCTTTTCTACTGGATTCTCGGGCTTTTTCACCAGCGAGGAAATTGTCAATGCCATTCGCCATGCAGAGATACCGCACCGTGTAAGTAACCTTCACTCGATTCTGTCCGCTCTTTAACCGCTTGTCTGCTCAAGGAACTAACAAGATTATCAGTCTCCGTTCTGTGCGAAGTGCCCTCAGCGCACTTACGAGTCCACCATCAGCACTCTCTACAAGGTAAACCCCTTTCGTCTGATGCCACTGTACGTAGGACGTACATGAGAGAGACAATATGCTAACCATGCGCCCTCTGCTTAGTTCCCGTGGTACGCTACCAAGCTGTACACAGTTCATGACCGCAATCAGTTGTTTGAGCTGGCTAATCGTCACATCCTCTCTCTTGTGGCGCGAGTCAAGCGGTCGAACACCGTTGGTCTCGACCAAAGACTGCTGAGGGAACTCCTTTACGCTGGATTGAATTGTCCTGCCTTCAATGAGCGCCAGAAGTACACCCTGTGTGCCAATTCGGAGGATACCACAGAGATCTTGAAGTTCCCAGATATGGGTAAATGGTTCCCTTTTGATACTCTCGTCAAGTTGCCACAGACTGAAGAGTGCACATTGCTGGTATGTCTTCCTTATCTTGACCTCTTGAAGCTTTGCAGCTTTTTAGGCCCTGGTTTGGCACGCACTGACGGATTGAGCATTCAGTATTACGTCAAGTTGATATCGAAAGGTACCCTCCATGATCGCACTGACATGAAGCTGACGAACAACTTCCCTTTGACGAACATTCACCTTGAGTCTCCTTACGGTCCTATCTGGTTCGAATGGCCGTCCAACATGGCTAAGACTATGGCCTGGGAAGATGCTTCCGCGCACGAGATGAGCATCCTTAGCCATCTTGTCCTGACGGGCTGGATGAGGAACGACCAGGAGAACACCAAGAAATCCGGCCTACTACCAGAGTCCACTACCGCAAGCAGCCGCGAGTCCCATGCCAATACCATCGTGTCATCTGGGAGCGATAATAGTCCAATCAATGTTCGGACATCATCGAGGACTGATATTTTCGCGACACCTTCCCGCCGTGCAAGCGTTCAGCTTGGCAGTCGCAGCTTCTTCGCTGAGAGCAGCGATGACGGCTGGCACCGTGCAATGTATATGCATTCTTCGGCCGGCATGCGAGGTAGGTTTCCTGGTCATCGGAATACCCTGTCATCTCCCACTTGTCTTCCGTCCGCAGGTTACCATTAAGGTTTCAGCGGGTCAGAGTCGTGGGATGGCCGGTACTGCGAAATTCCGGATTGTTTTCATTCAAGGACGGCAAACAATGTCTTGCTATCTTGCCGCCAGCAGTTTGAGATCTGCTTTGTATCAATTCGGTACTTTGAAGGGCGACGAGTGCTTGCCTCACCCTAGCACTGTTCATCTTTCCTGTCCACTGAGAGATTTCGGCCGGGAAGATACTGGATCCACAAGAAGTGATTGATGCAATGAATTGGAGTCAATTTGACGCAGTCGAGATCGAATGAGATATCATGCAGTGTCAATTCAGCTTGTTTCAAGGGATCCTTGGGAGGTTGCGTGGTATCGAATATCATTTATCTCTTCATTCTCTTTGATCCCGCTCATGCGGATGATTGGCGGTGCAGGCGGCATCATAACCTGCTCTTCAATGGCAAATCACCGATATAGATTAGATGGCTTGATTCTCGATCATGTATCTAGAATTCTCATAATTGCGTTGGATCCATCACCCATCCCATCTCGTATGTCGCTGTACTCTCGTTGTCAGTAGATTTTGCCTGAGCATCCAGAACCTTCTTCCTCATAAGCCCTTCCGCCCTCTTCCTCTCTCTGCGTGCTGCAGAATCTTCCCAGCCCTCAGGTTTAGCCTTTAGCCTTGTCCTTGAGCCACAGGGTTGTTCCCTCGAGCAAAGATTGAGCAGGCTTGTCCGAAACCTTTCCTTGCGCTCTGCATTGATTGAGAACCTCTCGTTTGAGATGGCGACCAGCATTTGAAGGTATTCTTCTGTGACCAGACTGCGGATGACGGGCTCCTTGCTGCTCATATCGTCTTCTTCACCGGAAGATTCGCAATAGCCAATAACAGATTCGAGTGACAACCCGGCGGAGCGCACGGCAACAATAGGACTTGGGCCATTCTCGCCTTCAAGGCAACGGAGACTCTGTAATCCACTTTCCCGAAATCCAGAAGTTGCAGCAGCTGACAATACAGGATGAGCGTGGTGAAGTGTGGCTGCCATGATATGAAGGATCTGTTGAGAGAGATGGTATCAGTAAAAGTTCTCTGATTTGTCGGGATAGACGCCTTGGAAGATTCTGAAAAGACTGTCCTGGAAGTAGAGCCAGAGAAGGGACGAGATATGTCGACCAGCATTGTTTTGAGAGTCGGGTGCTAAAGGACTGTCGACCTACCATAGGATCGTAGTGGAAGCGCACCAGACGCGGGGCGTGACCTTCTGTCAGCCTCAGAGGCTTTCCATCTCCAGGAACCATCCCAAACAATTCATGCAAACTTCTCGGATAATCTTTGCCTTCCATCGAATCGGAATCATCGCTGCCACAACCTGTCCGATAGCCTTTCAAACGATCGTGCGAGACATATAGCCACTTCCCTGCCCCTTTGCCTCCGGAGGGCGCGAACTGCCGTTGCTCCTGCTGCTGGTCATTTTGCTTTTTTCTCCCCTCCAAGAAGACGCTGATTCGTCCAGAACAACTACTGGTGGTCACCAGACCGGGGAGAGCATTGATATCTTGGATTAAGTCGCGGATGCCCTCATCTACCGATCCTTTGGGTGAAAGATCCGTATACTCTGTGTCTGGGGCAGACAGTTCCGCCAGAATCTTGCGCTTTCGAGATTCAAAGACCTCTGGAATCATGCCTACCTCCGGATTGCTCATGCTCGCCTCTGCGCTATGACGCCCTTTAACTGTAATGGAATCACCCTGAAATATCGCGTTCTGTTTCAGCAAAGGTCGACCGAGATGCCCAGCAGTGAACCTGAAATTTGAATTGGTCTGTTGCAGAATGGCTAGTCTCTTTCCGTTTCTCTAACAAAGTAATAGGCCTCTCACGGTTACGAAGAGAAGCTTGGAAATTTATAGATGCGGGGATGCCTTGTTCATAAAACAAGTCATCCAAACTCACAGCATCACCAAAGCTTTTCGCTAGCGACTGTCGTCTATCAAGCGAGCGCGCTAAGTTTAGTGGCACGGGAGCAAAGGACCCTTCCGCCTTTTCCACGCGAAAAGCGCCCCATAAGTTACCAGCCTCCTGGTTTGTCCCGTCGTCCGCTCGAACCGTCTTGGAGTCAAATCAATCGCTAACTAAATCTTGCGTAGCCCGCTTGTCCCGTCAGCCCGTTACGAAGCAAACCGCGGACAATCTCTTAAATGTCATAGACTATCGCTTACCCACACATTCCTGCTACCCCCCGGCTCCTCTTTATCCTGCGTAGCTACGTATATACCATCAGACTCAACTCCGATAATAGCTTGCTGTGAAAGAAAAACGGTACATTCAAGCAACTCCTTATCTTGCCATCTTTCGGATCCATGCCTCGTCGATCGTCGCGGGCCGTTCCCGCACCTGCGGCAGCTCCAGCGCCGACTCAAAAAAGGCGCGCGTCTGACAGGATCTCTGCAGGCTCAAAAGCAGATCCGAAAAGACAAAGGTACAACAGCAAAAATGCCAAGAACGTCGTCAGGTCTACCGCCAGAAAGAGCAAATATTTTGAAGACGAGGGACATGAAGAATCAGAATCTGGTCATGCATCCGAGGTGGAAGAAGACTCAGGTTCAGCCTACGAAGATACAATGTTGTCCTCCCCGTCAACTGAACCGGACTCTGAGGAACCGGAGGCCCTATCTACAGATGAAGAGCGAACGAAAAGACCAACAACAAAGAAGGCTAAACCTAGTGGAGGTCGAAAGACACCAGTGAAACCCGGTGCGGGAAGAAACAAAGAAAACGACGAAGAAGACCACCCTAATGATGAGATAGCGGCTTCGCTAAAGGACAAAGAACTATGGAGAGAGGGTGTCAGCACGGGTTTAGGACCTGGAAAAGAAGTCTACATCAAGAAGCCTAAAGCCAGAGATCCCGGAGATATTCCCTACCAGGACCATACACTGCATCCAAACACCATGCTTTTCCTGCAAGATTTGGCGAAACATAACGACAGACAGTGGCTCAAAGGTATTGACACAGAATATATATATATCCGATTTTTAAAACATGTCTAACCAACTATCATCTGGGCAGCACATGACGCGGATTATCGTGCCTCGAAGAAAGACTGGGAAACCTTCGTCGAAAGTCTCTCAGAAAAAATATCAGAGCTGGACAGCACCATCCCTGAGTTGCCTGCAAAGGATATCGTAAGTGTCACTCTTTGAAACAACTTTGTCATCGATAAACCCCCGAAAGGGGAGATGAACCGATGAGATGAAACGAAGCAAATGAATTGACTTGGAGTCCTGTCAGGTCTTCCGCATCCATAGAGACATTCGATTCAGCAAAGACCCCACTCCATACAAGGTATGTATTATATTCAAGCATGATCTGTCAACATGCTGCGTTTCGCGTGCCCAATGTTCAGATGTTGGTGGGTTGACGATTGCTATGACTAGACACACTTCTCAGCGGCATGGTAGGTTCATTCTCTGCTCTTGTGTACAAGATTCATTGACTGAACGCCTTTCATAAGGTCCCGCACCGGCAGAAAAGGCCCTTATGCTGCTTATTATGTGCATCTGCAGCCCGGATCTTGCTTTGTCGGTGAGTGATTCCCTGAACACATCGGCCTCTGCCGCTCAGAGTGAATCCCGCTTCCATGGTGTTCTGCACCAGCACCAGTTTACCCTCATTCCGACTTAACTCTGGGCAACCTTTCTATCTGGACCATTTCACGGGGCTCCGTCGGAGACTACGGCTCCTTCGAGAACTGGTGACACACATGCTTCCAGAATCTTGTCCTCTTCCCCAGTTATCTCAGGCCATGATGTCTTAAGCTCACAATGTTGGTGCTGTTCACAGGCTCAGGACTCTGGCAACCAGAAGCTGATAAGCTTGCTCTTCTTCGAGAGGATATCGACCATAATTCGCATCGTTTGAAGGCTGTGCTGCGAAGACCGGACATGCGCCGCGAGTTTTTCAAAGGGATTCCCGACGACGAAAAGAAGGCTATACAGGCTTTTGTTAGTCAGAACAAAGAAAGCGCGCTCAAAACAAAGCCCAAGGTAGGTACAGCTCCTTCTCGATGTTCATCCCATTATCTGGCATACATCAACCACCACTGTCACGGGCGCAAAGCGTTCCCATCAAATCCTTTCGAGCAGTACTCTATCAGATGGGCAAATTAGAACCAGGTTAAGGTGCCACGTTCAGAGATGTTCCAGAGTGACTCTTGGGCGCGGTGCTACTGCTGGTTAGTGATGGCCCCATCAAGGATGAAAAGGTCTGCTCGTTCAAAAGCTGCTTTTCCGGCCAATCAAACAATGCTTTGGGCTGTCATTTCAGAAAGAGAAGCAGCTAAATATTACAGCGTTGATGGGCAGTTGTTCTTCACTGCTTTGCGTGTGTCGAGGTTGTTGATGGCAAGAAGCGCAGCCGCGCTCGGGTAGCGGGAGCTACCCGTATTGGGAGCTCGCGTTCTCACACCCGGGAGCCTGCGAACCTACGAGCCCTGAGACAATATTCGCTCGCCCCAGAAAGCGTTCTGCTCATAATTCTGGACTCCTGAAACTTGGTTTCTGGGACCAGCGCGGAAATGCCATCTTTGTCCCACCGGAGTTTGTTTTGGTGTCGAAGAGTTTTCAGCACCGTCTCATCTGTTTCCATGGTTCAGCATCTGCCTACTAGCGGGTCTTTTGCCGCGTCTTAATTTCATTTTCACGGTCTGTAGTACTGACTGCTGACAAACTTGGTTCCTCTGTAGGGTTACGAGGCTGACAACGAAAACATCGAATTACTCCGTCTACGCAGTTTCACCATTGGAAAGCCCCTCTCCGACTCGGAATTTATGGCCTCGAATGTGCAAGAGAGAATTGCCGCCATCATTGGTGTCATGGAACCCTTTGTAAGCCATGCTAGCCACCCTTGTTGCGCAGCCTCATTTGGCTTTTCTCCCGCCCGTCCGCGTCTCTGTCTATTGGACCTTACCATTCCGTAGCGGATACATGGCCCTTGTCTGGTTCTTGTTCCCCTCTTCGACATGCCCTTCCCAGCCACTTCAGCGGTGTAGCCTCTGAGACACAATGGTCCCCACCGTCTAGTACAATCATGCTTGATGCCATCATATGAGAAGATGCAAAGATGGTCCCCGAAGTCCTTTCATGAGCGCTGTTTTACTGACAACGGTATCATTTCACAGGTTACGTACTTGAACAGCGTCGTTATGCCTGATCCAGTGGACCAGGATACAGGCTCCGAGTCCGAGTCCGCATGACCAGATTTCGTTGCAGGCCAACTCCCTCCCTGATGGCCCTCCAGGGTCTTTCGCGATAACGTCGTCGATCTTGCGGTGTAGTTTTTTTTGCTTTGGCGTACAAATACGAAATCCACTTTTGAAGACTCCCTAGTTGTGGCAAGAGCCTCAGCATCGTTTTTCGTAACATGATCACCCCTCGCCCTGTATATTCCGACACTGGGACCCTCTGGCGCTCTACAACCATATACTACCATCCTTGGTTGGGTGGGTTTGTCGTAAGAGTCTAGACGCATTTTCTTCAACGCTGAATTACCGTGCATTCGAATTCCTTGACTGCAAGCTGGCATTCATCCCCCTCTCTATCTCTGTCCACTGACCGCCAGTCTCGATCTTCCAGTAAGAACTGTTCTTAGGTCAAATCCATGAACAGTTGACACGCCACTGTCCACATATCGCTGACTTGCATGTTATGGCCTGCTGTCCGCGCGCCGCTGCCCGGCCCGTGGGACGTGCCGTTAGCTCCACGGTGCAGCCCATTTCTCGTCAATGGGAGTTATCCACTTCTGCACGCGTGCGAATTCGTCGATGCTGCTTACCATCAATGGTACTTATTCCTTGGACACAGAAGCAACGATTTCTGCATCAGTGCCTGAATTCGCGACGCACAATGCCTTGTACGAGCCATGGTGTCGTCTTCAAAGCCAAGCATTCGCCTTGTTGGTGCCTGACTCCCAGTTAACCCAAGTCAGCAACCTTCGCGAAAGGCAAAAATCACCCGGAGACGGTGATCACTAAACAGGAGGGCTGCATTGCTCCTCTTGATTCCTGCAAAGCACACACTACCTTTCTCCACTTAGATTCCTTGTACCCTATATCTAGACCATACTATTGGATAGATCGATGGTGATTTGACTCGCCGAGATCCTGGCGGAACTTTCCGTTCAATAAATGCGTCTATCGATCCTTGTCCAGTTGCTCAATGCAGACAAAAAGACGATCATTGCCCACGAATCGAGGGTCTTTTGTCGCCTTGTGCACACAGATCCACGTAAATGTCTGCTTGTGGTTATCAATATCTCGACCTTCTACGAAACTCACATACTGTTGAGGAGATCCATTGAGCCCCCTACAATAATAGATACCAGAGTTTGATGCCGCAACACCCGACGTCGCGGGCCTTCATATAAAAACAAATAAAAAGAACAATTATTACCAAGCAGTATCAACAACGACAAAGTGATAAGATAGCAGATAATCCATCTATTTCTACCGTATACACGATGCTTTGGTCAATCTCGTTCTACGGATAATTAAGGGACGTTCCCAAAAAGAAGCGGAACAGGGGATATATTTTTCTATGGAGGGACCTTGCAAAGTAGCATCACGAATTGCCCTTACTCAACCGCTATTCATCTACTCATTGGTAATTCAAAAAAACAAAAACAAAAATAAAAATGAAAAATAAAAAAAGGAGGGTGAGTTAAACGGCTTGCAATTGAAATGAACGTATCCATTCCAAGTGTGAGGTATAAACTGCGCTTGCGAAAGTATATCTGCCCCACGGAATCTGACTTTGTACGAGTTCGCTTATCATCTCGGAAGGGGGATTGTAATGACACGCATAGACTAATAACGTCAACTAGTCGAGACTAATCAGTCCTTTAGACTTGTTTGGATCATCTGAATTGCCTTGAGAACTACATATGAGCGAGACAATCGCAGCGGGTTGACTTATTTACTCAGACAGAAGTACCCTGCGTCGTCTAGGATCAACCCAACTAAAGGAATATAGAAAGCATGTGAAAGGTGAGTGTGCATTCTTTTCGCCTACCTGTAGCCTCTCTGCTGCCCAAGGGATCCTCGCTTCCAGAGAGGCCTCGTCGTAGAAGAACCTTGTTTGGATCCAAGGCTCATCTCCTTGCATGAGACAGGCTGGACAGCGCACCTGACGGTGATCCCCGGCTAACTCTATCCGAGATGTGGGCAATATTGTGATAGATCAGCATTTGGCGTGTACGCTGTAGGCTTGTCACCTAGTGTCTCTTCCAAGTACAGTCAACGCACGCCAGCTATCCGTAGCCCTAACCTGAATAAGAGAGCCGAGATCTTGAGGTATGCTTGACGGGTGATACTGATCTCCGTGGCTGTTGCTGCCCAAGGCCCCAAATAGCTAAAGCTGGGGGATGATCTTCGGTGGAAAACTTTAGGCGTGGATAGATGATCCGATGACCTAATCTCGATGCTCGGTGTCTTCTCCCCGACTGAAGTACCCATCACAGTCAAGAGTACTCTCTCTTCTGGAAGGATGACTTCATGGTCAAATTAGGCCACATTCGTATAGGGGGAGAGCGCCTCGATGAGTGGTTGTGATGCCCAAATTTCCCTAGTCCGAGCGTTCTGTCGTCGGAACACCGCTCTTTTCCAGTTCGTCGAGTTCTCCGAAAGGGATCAAAGACTTGCCTGACGAGTCAAGTGAGTAAACCCTGCTCAGTCAGGTAGTCCGTGATTCACATTTCTGAGTTTAATCTCTGCGTCTGTCACACGATACAGAGGATATTATTAGGCCACCACGTCAGGCTGAAGAGCTCCGATGCCTAAGACATGCTTGACGACTCGCACTCAAAGATCATCCGTAAAGGAGATTCGAGAAAGAAGGACACATGTTGCGGTGCGTACTGGATCATGACTTGGGCGTGGTGGAATGAGCACGTCAACCAAGACACATAAAATAATGCTGCCTCATTGACTTCCTGTTTTGCCACGTCATCAGGGAGGATCACGCTTGTATGTGTAAGTGAGCACAAAATGCGGTGCTGCAGTCAGGTAAGCAGTAAGCACGGACATAAGGCAATCAGAAATACTTGCATATTTGCCTTTTCGAGATTCGGACAAAAGTGGGTGAGATGCCTGTCACTACTCCTAGACTTCTGTCTAACCATCCAAAGCACGATTTTAAGCGCGCAGACAAGCCACAATAGGAAACATCATCGAGCCAACCTATGATGGCTAGGAACCCGGCCGAGTCCCTGACCCTTATTGGGTTGTGCGGGATCACGTGATTGAATTCGTATGCGGGCTTCCCGTCGATCGCAAAGCAGGCTGGTCGGGTGGATACGCTTGCAGACCAATGGACATGGCTATAAGCCTGTTGGCTTCAGAGTGAACAATTGAAACCGGCTCAATTTTCTGTTTGCATGATAATGTTGTTCTAGTCTTACTGAATTAGTGATACTCCGATGGCTGGCATGTTCGCAATGCGGACACGGGAATTGATTGACTTGGTTGGGCTGCACGACGGGATGCTCTACCCCGAACCTTGCGCCTAAGACAACAAGTCAGTTAGGAACCATGGAACGGCAAGATCTTCCTAGAGTCACTAGCCAAAGCGACTTGGTCACTGGACAAGCGGCCGTTAGTGAGGGTGGAGACTGCATCCTGGAGAGCCCAGAAACCAAGGCCACAGCAACGGAGTGACTAGCGACCCCTGACCACCGACCACTCAGAGCGGGAGCCTGGGAGGCCTGGAAAGAGGCCAAGGACAGCCCACTGAGCCCAATAATGCGTAGCCCACCAGCTGACGGTGGGTTTTGGCGGCAACGGAAAGACGCGGACGGCAATGCACCGCGCCGATCGGGTTCAAAAAAACGTGGCAACAAGTTGGGACAAAGAAGAATAGCCCAGCCTATCAGCCTACGGAAAAGATGGTCGGTAAAAAAGAGAAAAAGAAAAAAAACGCAGTATAACTTACTGTTACTGTATTACCAATGTTCTATTACCGTATCTGATGTACGGTATCAGACACATAGAGGGCCCCGACCCTAAATAAAGTACCAGATTATCTATGGCTGTCTAAGTACCTGTATGTGGTGATACTAATCACTAGGGCAGAGTGAGGCTGGCTGTGACCTCCGACCGCGTGAAATATCAGTGGTAATGATCTCAATTCATTTATTCTAGAGGTTTGAGTTCCCGGTGCGTTGCGTGTGTCATTGACGGCTGGACGGAGAGCGTCGGAGGATAGACCTCTACCTCAGATTCCCACATGTCAGGAAGGATATCTCCGGTATCGTTGTGACTTGCAGGTTGACACTGCGATGATTTCATGCGTCGTAGAGAGGTCGAAATTAGGGAAAGAGATGGACGGACGGCAAAATAGAGCTTCCAGGAAGTAATATGCCATGGCTCGAAACGGAGCAATAGCAACAAACCTTTTAAGTGATGATAACCGACCTACGCGAAGGAAAAAAGGACAGAGGCCTGCTTATCATGGTAACTCATCGCCGCCGAGGCGCACTGCCACTGTTGTGGTAAATGATGATGATGATGATGACGGGTTCTGGGAGCATGCCAGACTACCTTACACTTCATGCATAAGATCGGCGGGAAGTCGGGGCGGCCCGTCATGGACGTGTCCAGGAGATGATTAGCGGTGTCGAGTGATAGGATAGTGCCCAACGCCTTGAGGCGAGCGAAATGGCCCATGCATCCCAGTCACATTGTTCGACACACTACACGGTAAGTAACTGCCTGAAGCATCTGTTTGCGATCGCAAATTCCTGCTGAATTGGTGGTGTCTGTCAATATCACATGAGGATTGAGCGCTGCTTTTTTCCCCACCCTTCTCTACCCTCGCCCTTGTTTGTATTTTCCCTGATGATGCGGTATCCTTCCGACGCCTCGCAAGGAGGCGTTCTGTGTTTCAGTGTCGCACGAAGGGGCGGAAAGCGGCAAATGGCACCTGCAAGGTGAGACTGGATAGGTACTCGATAGGTCGGAGTCGAACCCACAGGATTGATACCATGCTAGGGCCTTAATATATTTGAATCACACGATCCATCCATAATCTACTATGTGGGTGTGTATACCTCTGTGCTTGACAAGATTGCAGACCTCATGATTGGCTTTGTAAGCATCATAAGTACCTCATTCGGTTAGAGAAACGGTTCATTGTGAATCATCCCAACTGGGAGGCGGGGACACAAAACCGTTTGCCGATTTAGGATAGTAATTGTGATAAA